CAAATGTTTCTAATTTTGTGTGTGACATAGAATGTAATAAGGATAAACACTATTTCAAAACTTTTATTTTGTTATTAAATTTGTTGCTAGACTATAAAAATTTATTTCTTACTGTGGAATGCAATAAAAAGTTTGAAAGCCATTGCCTAGTCCTCAGAGGTACATGAAATGTCTGGGCAAGGAAGGCACGGGAAAGCACAGGGCTGTCCCAGTCTAACAATGAGGAGTGAGGAATTCCTGCCAAAGACAGAGTCTAACCACCCATGAGGCTGATTCCTTATTAGCTGGTCAATTCCTTGAAAGGCTCAACTCTTTTAGCCAGTGCAGCTGGAGGGTAGAAAGCAAGAGGAAGACTGGAATAAAGCTGAAGAGGCAGGCTGGAACAAGATCACATACACACTTGGTGAGGAGTTCGGATTTCATTCCTATAAAGGAAAGCTCTGGGAAGCTTTCAGCAGAGGAATGGCTTACTGTGATTCACATAAGAACAAAACCACCATAGAAAAAAAAGAGGATCACTGGAGCTCATGGAGTTCAAGACCAGCCTGAGGAACATGGCAACACCCTGTCTCTACAAAAAGAAAATGAAAGATACCCAATAAACTCTATGGAATACGAGAGTGGGGGAAATTTATTATTCATTATATATATGTATGCACATATATTTTGTTTGTTTCTTTATAGAGACCTTCAAAGCTATTTCAAATTAATCATTATATATTTTTTATATTTCTAAGAGACAGGGTCTTGCTCTACCACCCACACTGGAGTGCAGTGGTGAGATCATAGCTTCCAATAAGCTCAAGCCTCCTGAGCAGCTGGGTCCCAAGGCATGTGCTACCACACATGGCTATTTTTTTTTATTTTTATAGAGATGGGGGTCTCACCATGTTGCCCAGACTGCTCTGGCCTCAAACAATCCTCCTGCCTCATATTCCTAAAGCACTAAGATTACAGGCATGAGGCACCACGCCAGGCCCTCATTAAATTATTTAAAATGCTTGTCAAATAATCATACATTACTCATTTTATCTTTTAATTTAAAAACAATGCTTGTCCTTGGCCAGGCGCAGTGGCTCACACCCGTAATTCCAGCACTTTGGAAGGCCGAGGCAGGCGGATCACGAGGTCAAGAGGTCAAGAAATCAACACCATCCAGGCCAACATGGTGAAACCCCGTCTCTACCAATACAAAAAATTAGCTGGGCGTGGTGGCACATGCCTATAGTTTCAGCTACTCAGGAGGCTGCGGCAGGAGAACTGCTTGAACAGAAGAGGCGGAGGTTGCAGTGAGCCATGATTGTACCACTGCACTCCAGCCTGGCACCTGGTGACAGAGTGAGACTGTCTCCAAAAAGAAAAAAAGAATGCTTGTCATGTAAACCCTACATTTGGGGTCAGGCATCAACTGAAGGAAAAATTCCTTCCTTTTGCTGGAGCGTACCAGGTCTGGTAGCAAGAAATGGCTTCTTTATACTCCCAGCATTCTTTCCGGTCCTTCAGCTAGCCCAATCCCTGGCGCCTTCTATAAGGCAAAGATGTGTGTCCTGAAAGGCCCCACCATTTCCCAGTCCTGCTAAATCATTCCTTATGGCAGCCCCAAGTCCTCTCTGGTCCACCCCTGAAGTCTTACACTTTAAATCAAAAACCAGCCACAGATGGAGTCTTACACTTTAAATCAAAAACCAGCGTAAGTCTTAACCACTTCCTACCACCTTCAACAGGTTTTCACCTCCTTAACAGGTTAACTTATCCAATGCTTTTGTACACTTCTCACCTCAACCTGCAAAGTGTGCCCGCATTTAAAATAGCCACTCTGCCATCTTACACCAAAACCACTTTCTTACCACCAGGCCAGCAATTCCTCAGAGCCCAATTCTTCCAAGAGGTTTTCTCTACAGCAATAAACAGGGACATCTGAACAGGGAATCTTATAACTTCCTCTTCACTTCCTCTTGCTCACAACTTTTGTATCACCATCCATCTTAAGTATAAGCTATCCAAATACAAGGACCAAAACAACCTTAATTTGAAGAGTGTCAAGATTTGGCCACACATGAAGCAATATTCAGCAGCTTTGGGGGCTGAAAATCGAACTGCTACTTGAAAGTGCTTGACAGCACTGGCTTCTTGACTTTTGCGGGGAAAAGCACTAGCAGTACAGTAACACTAAATTTACTCAGAGTTCTTAAATACAAAGCAAGAAGAGCTTGGAAGCAGCTGACCACAGATTCCCCAGGTTCCCTATGCTTTGTAGGCCCTGCAGAAATGGCAGGATGGGTAGAGGAAAGTGTCTATGGGGTGGAAAAAGTGGCAAAGCTGGACTGAGTCAAGCCAAGGGAAGCAGGATAGGTTCTCTTCTAACAGTTTCCCAGCAGCAGGCACTGTATGGAAAGTCCAGCTTCTGTCCCTTAGTTACTTTCAACCTTACTCTTTTTTTTATTCCTCTAATAAATAAGAAACAAGTCCAGGCGTGGTGACTCACGCCTGTAATTGCAGCACTTTGGTAGACCAAAGTGGATGAATCACAAGGTCCAGTGTTTGAGACCAGCCTGGCCAACATGGTGAAACCCCGTCTCTGCTAAAAATACAAAAATTAGCCAGGCGTGCAAGTGCACACCTGTAATCCCAGCTACTCGGGAGGCTGAGGCAGGAGAATCGCTTGAACCTGGGAGGCAGAGGTTGCAGTAAGCAGAGATCATGCCATACTGCACTCCAGCCTGGGCAACAGAGCAAGACTCTGTCTTGTGGGAGGGAAAAAAAGAAAAGAAAAGAAACAAAAGCAGACTCCAGTAATCTGCCACAGGTATCACGAAAGGTTTAGGAATTTCAGCTTAATGATCTTCCTCTTCATCCTACTTTAAAACTTTCACTAAGCATTATTAAGATTAATGGTTTACAAAACAAAAACAAGTGTGTATATGCAGAGGCACACAGTGCTGAACACCACAGGCAAGGACATACATTTCATACAAGTTGTACCCCTCAGTCACAGGACTGAGGGGACGGGACCTTTTCACCTCTCTTTCGATCCTAGAAGGACATCAGGAGACAATGAAGACAGGAAGACTCTTGGAGATAGAAGTTTCACATTCCAAAAACGGGGAGGAGATATAAAGAGCCAATACAGCAGGGAAACAGTCAATCTGACAGAGGAGGGGTCAGTTCAGGGAAAAGCCAAGCGTGGTAATATAAAGCCCCTTGATAAGTTTTATCACAGCACATAGAATGGCGGTTCTGATCCCCAGCTGTGTGAATGTCAACCAAAGCTCTTATGGAAGCCTTCGCAGCAGGATGGATTCATTACAGTGATGAACCGAAGTAAACCACCCCCTTGCCGACTAAGAGCTAACATTTGCTGAGTGCTTACTAACTGCTAGGCACACTGACAAACTGAGAATCAGAAATTAAATAACATGCTCAAAGTCACAAAGCTACTAAGTGGCAGACCTAAGTTACAACCTAGGCATTCAGTGTAGCTCCAGAGCCCTTACTCTCACCTGCTATACTATGCTGCCTTTGCACAGAAGATGAAGACGACTTCGAGAATGAGCCATGCTAGAGACACAAAGGGGAGAGGAAGTACAGTTAAATGCCAATTTCCTTCTACCTTGGGTACAAGCGGGATTCACAGGGCATTTGGTATAACACCTAAAAGGTGTCAGCCTCCCTAACAGGACAGGGGGAAGCTGCAGGAAGCAGGAAAAGAAGAAAAGGTTGGGTTGGATAGGTCAAAATGAATAAGTGAACTGCCAAGTGCACAGAAAGCAGTATCGCAGTCAAGGTTTTGCCATCAAACACCTCCTCGGAAGCTGATCCTGCTCAATAACAACCCAGGAGATACCATGGAGGCTTGGGACTCACGGAAAGTATCTGAAGCTCCAGAGAGAGAGAGGAGTGGAGTGGGGAGCAGGGCTACAGGGAGCACTTTAGGTGCCTCCAGGACTTACAGCAACTCCCTTGCCCCAAATTTAAAAAAAAACGAGACCCAGAGTAAGGTAGCCAACTAGAAAAGCCTTTCTAATGTCACCGGAGTCCGAGCCTGGGTCTTCCCACCTCCGATACCGTGTCCCCCATCTGCCCTTCCCGCTCTCCCGGCTGAGAGGTACACCCCCGGCAACCATTAGGGCCTGGTACATTCAGTTAGCACTAAAAACGCGTTTATTTAATGACTGAGCGAGTGAATGAATTAAAATTACTAGGGGAGGCGTCTGCTTCTCTGAAAGTGACCGTAGTGAGGCCCTGAGCGGGCACAATGAGGTCCCAGTGTGCCGCTGCCGGTTCTAGGAAGCACACGTCTTTAAGGCTCGCAAATCTCAAGGCATCTCGGGCTTCCAAGTCGGCCTGCAGACCGCTTAAGCACGCCCGACCTGCACTCGTTTCACGCAAGTCCCGGTCATGCGGGGCTCAAAAAGGGGTCCCGACGTGGGTTCGTGAACCCGAAGCACCCTGGGACTTGTAGTCCCCAACTGGCCCGCCCAGAGACTCCCCTAAAACCCCAAGCAGTCCTCGCCAACGGCTCCAGAGCCGTGGTCCCGCCAAGCCAGGCTGCGGCGGGCCGGAGTCGCCCATTAAGCTGGGGATCTGGACGAGGACAGAGGCAGCAAGCAAAAGAGGGTCCTACACAGCGGGCCCCGGCCGAGCGGCGCCGGCCACCGACCAGATGGCAGTGGATGGCGACGGATGCGCAAGACGCCACTCACCATCATTTTGGAAGCTTATTCAGCGGCCCGCCACTCTCCCCTCTTCTCCGATACCCTGCCGCCGAGCAACCCACAATGCTCCGCGCAATAGAAATACCCAGAAGCTTGGGCCGGGAGAGGAAAAGAACGGACCACTTCCGCCACTCTATGGTTTGCTACCACCGAGTCGGTGCAGCTAGAAGGGCCTGAGGCCGGGCTTCGGGGGCGCTGTAGTGAGATGTGTTCATTAAAGAGGGGTAGCCGCATTTCAGTCGTGTTTTTGTTTTTGAGGACAGAGGGCCTTTGTTCGTCTCGCATCACCTACTAACCTTAATTCCACCCTCTTCCAAACACGGACGCCAGACCAAGGAATGCAATAAAGGCAAAAGTGAATCGAAAGCCAAGTGTGGGACAAGCTGGTGCCAAAGCACTTTTTAAGTGAGCGATCTCATTTAATCCAAACACCCCGATTGCGTTGGTCCTATTATTAAGGCCATTTTACTCATGCGAGAACAGAGGCTGAGAGGTCAAGCTGTCCAGTGTCACAATTTCACAGTCAGTGGCAACAGGGCGAGCGTGGGAAGCTGGCCCCAACGCCCGTTTTCTGGCTTTGCACTGGCCAGAGACTCCTCGTGGATAGCGTAAGCCAGGCCGCGGCCCCAGCGCCTATCCACGGTGAGCACGCAAGCGTTGGTGGCACTGGGCGGAGGACCCCCTGGCGCAAAATGATGCCTTCCTGTGAAGGCTTGGGGAGGAGGGAAGCGCAGCTGGGAGAAGGCTAATCGTTAAGCAAGACGGCCTTGGAGTGGGCAGGACCGAGACCGCAAGCGCTAACGGCCACGACTATCGACAGTTGAAACGAGTCCGGCTGCGGGCACACCTCTAGTGCCGGTCACCCTGGCCCGCCCACCGCCAGCGAGGACCTGGAGAGTCGAATCCAAACTGAGAAATGCTGGGGCGGGGCTGAGGCAAGGGTCGGCTGTAGCTGTTAAGAGTTTAAGCCAATCAGTCCCCGGCTCCACTTCTCTCGACCAATAGAAAGTAGGCTAAGGCGCAGAGGCGGAAAGTCTGGCTACACGAGCAGGCGTCAGAGCCAATTAGCCGTGAGCCTCGTTCCCGTTGTCCAACCAACAGCGAGAGCGGATATGTGGGCGGGAGACCGGAGCAGCTGTCAGGCTAAAGTCCGTCGAGCGACGGGAGGCAGGGCGGCGGGAGGAGACGCGGCGCGGGAACGGACCCTGGAGATGGTCCCAGGCGCCGCTGGCTGGTGTTGTCTCGTGCTCTGGCTCCCCGCATGCGTCGTGGCCCATGGTGAGCAGCAGCGGGTGGGGCTGCAGGCTGGGCTGCCCGTTCAGCTTGCGCGCGTGTCGGGCTGGGGGCCGCGGGTCACCTTGGGGACCCTGAGAGTTCAGAGCAGGGCAGGTCTGGGAACGGGCGGCCGGAGTAAGTGGGTGGTGGTCCAGGGACATAACGTGGGCGCAGCCTGAGGTTGAAGCTCTGAGTCCTCAGCTTCCCACGACAAAGCAGGTCTCCCCACTCACCCCCCTCCCCTACCCCCCCCCCCCCCGCCCACTAGCGCCGACCCAGATGACTTAGGGTGCGATACGGAGCGACAGCTAAAGAAAGATACTATAGGCTGGAGATATATATGTGAGCATTCACACGTACAGGACCTTACATTCCTACACGTGGGCACACACACACAACCGGTTTACACCTACATATAACCCGTTTACACCTACACAAGCATATAAATGTATACATCTACGCATACACTTAAGCACATATGTATACCCACAGCTTACACAGATTGGCACATGCAAAGGCAAGCAAGGGTTGGGGGAGGAGAGAGTGAGTTTGACACTAGTCCAGGAAGGCTTTCTGGGGGTGCATTTTTATCTGATGGGGAGTCCCCACTCCCAGGACTGTATAGCTCAGTGCCAAGCCAGGGGAGCTCTACCTGATGCCTGTGATTTGGGCAGTAAACAAGGACAGCTAAAGCCATAATCAATCCCAGGCTTTATACACAGTAGTGACTTGGTAGTTTGTCTGTTGACCAATGGACTTGTGGCAGTTTTCATCCTTCAACATTCCGCAGTCTCTCTGGGCTAAGGAAACCAGGGACTCAAGTCCGGCTACAACTTTAAACTTTGGTGCTGAGAAGAAGTTCCCATGACCCAGAAAAATCTAGTTGTCTGGAAATTCTCTTCAGTGCTATGGAATTGGATATAGTTGTTGTTCATTTATTCATTCAGCAAAATGAATATAGGGCTACCCCTATATTGTTGCCACTGTGCCAGGCACTGGGGATTCTGCATTAAATGAAGTTACAAAGTAGAAGAGACAGATATTTTAAAATGATGAATCCAGGGCAGGTGCAGTGGCTCAGGCCTGTAATCCCAGGCCAAGGTGGGAGGATCACTTGAGCCCTGGCAACAAAGCAAGACCCCATTCCTATTTAAAAAATGGAAAAAAAAAAATCAGCCTGGGTAATATGGCGAAATCCCGTCTCTACTAAAAAATACAAAAAATTGGCTGGGCACAGTGGCTCAAGCCTGTAATCCCAGCACTTTGGGAGGCTGAGGTGGGCAGATCACGAGGTCAAGAGATCGAGATCATCCTGGCCAACATGGTGAAACCCCTTCCCTACTAAAATACAAAAATTAGCTGGGCGTGGTAGTGTGCGCCTGTAGTCCCAGCTACGTCAGGAGGCTGAGGCAGAAGAATTGCTTGAACCCGGGAGGCAGAGGTTGCAGTGAGCCAAAATCTCACTACTGCACTCCAGCCTGGCATCTGGCAACAGACCAAGACTCTGTCTCAAAAAACAAAAAATACAAAAAATTAGCTGGGCATGGTGGCACACATCTGTAGTATCAGCTACTCAGGAGTCTGAGGCATGAGAATCTCTTCAGCCTGGGAGACAGAAGTTGCAGTGAGGCAAGATCACACCACTGCACTCCAGCCTGGGTGATAAAATGAGACACTGTCTCAAAAAAAAAAAAAAAGGAAAAATTATGAAGGCTGTATAATTACAAATGATGTTGAAAGTCTTCATTTCTTAAAAAGTACATTTGAATGGATATGGGAGGGCGATCATGAGGCAGAAGCTTTCTCTGAAGAAGTGACATTTAAGCTATGACCTGAAGAATGACTAGGAACGAGTCAGCTAAAAGGGTGGAAATAGGTTGGGGTGGGAGTAGGGGGCCTTCCAGGCTCAGGGGACAACTTGCAGAAAGACTGAGAGAAGTGAAGAAACTCAAAGGCCAGCGTAGCTTCAACATAGGATGGAGGAGATGAGGTTGGAAGAGTGGCCAGGGGCCAGAGCAGACAGGGTCTTGTTGGCCACAGTTTAAAAAACGTTTAAATTTTAAATGCAAAGGGCAGTTTTTGAAAGGTATTGAAACCCTGAGCATGGTGATATGCTCATAATTGCTAAGATGTTTTTGATTTCTGATTGTTGTTTGGGGAATGAACCTTAGGGAACAAGAATGGAGGCAGAGAGGCCAGGTAAGAAGCTGAGCTGTCTGCCAGGTGGCTCACGCCTGTAATCCCAGCACTTTGGGAGGCTGAGATGGGCGGATCACCAGGTCAAGAGATCAAGACCATCCTGGCCAACATAGTGAAACCCCATCTCTTTAAAAAAAAAAAAAAAAAGCTGAGCTGTCAGGACAAGAGATGATATGGACTAAGGGGATGGCAGTGGAACCAGAAAGTCAACTTTTAAATTTTAGTGAGAATTGTTTTGTACCCAGGCTAGTACATCTCTACCCTGAAACTCCCAGGTCTTCAGAGCAAAAATAAATTAACCCTGGAGCACTCAGTTTTCCTGACTCACTGTGTAAGCAGCAGCAGCTGATATAAACCTCTGGGGTTACTAATCTGTATCAACTCTATCCTCCCCAGGGCAGAGGCCATCTATCCCTCCACCCCGCCACTAGGGAACCCATTTGGCTGAAGCCAGGACCCTGAGCCCACACTATAGCCAGCTCAGCTGAAGACACAGGGTCTGTGATCTGAACCTGAACCAACCTTTTTCTGGGAGACTTCTTACCTGTACTCTTTACCCTTCAGGCTTCCGTATCCATGATTATTTGTACTTTCAAGTGCTGAGTCCTGGGGACATTCGATACATCTTCACAGCCACACCAGCCAAGGACTTTGGTGGTATCTTTGTAAGTTAAGGGAGACCCCTGATCTCTGATCCTCAACCTCCCCCTCCCCTCACTGAGCTGCAGTGACCCTCTCATCCCACCTGAGTGCTGGGACAGGGAAGGGCACAAAATCAGCTCTGCCCTCTGTGAGCCATAGTGCAGAAAGGAAGTTCTTCCAGCTACTCCGCTGTGTACAATATACACCTGGGCACCATGGAGGGACAAGCTGTCTTTTTAGGGCACGTTAAATGAAAAGCCAAGAGCACCAGCTTCCTCTGCCAGCTCTACCTCTTAAGGTGTGACTTAAGGCAAGTCACTTCCCCTCTCTGTATCTACAACCAACCCCCCTGCCTATCTCATGGAAGGGTGGGGTAGGACAATCAGATAGGCCTTTGTGAGAATTAAGTAAAAATGTTTAGCTGTCTGGCAACACAGAAACCACTCCCACGTTTCCTTCACACTTTATAAGGTGCCAGTAAGATGGGATTGTCAGCCCAGTCCTAAAACAGGTGTGGCTCATTACACTCTCACCTCTCCAAATGTTAAATATTTTTCAGCACACAAGGTATGAGCAGATTCACCTTGTCCCCGCTGAACCTCCAGAGGCCTGTGGGGAACTCAGCAATGGTTTCTTCATCCAGGACCAGATCGCTCTGGTAGAGAGGGGGTAAGGAGTGGGCAGGCACAGACATGAGGGGTGGGCAGGCACAGGGCAGATTCTGAGATCATTATTGGTGGTAGTGCTTTGAAACATCTGTTTTTGAAATTTTCATCTTTTTAAAGGTCTTTTAGAAATGTCTAGCCTGGGCAACATGGCAAAACCCTGTCTGTACAAAAAATACAAAACTTAGCTGGGCATGGTGGCACATGCCTGTGGTCCCAGATTCTCAGGAAGCTAAGGTATGAGGATTACTTGAGCCCACATTGAGGCTGCAGTGAGCTGAGATTACATCACTGCACTCCAGGATGAGCAACAGAGCAAAACCCTGTCTCAAAATAAAAAAAAAAGAAAAAGAAATGTATTTAAATTATCCATGCTTTTAGCTATTTACTTGAGCCTTTAAAACAAATTCTTCATAGTCTGTCTTCTATACTCCTAGGGTGATGATCGGGGGCAACTGGGAGCTAGGACCTGCCTTTCCTTTGGTCTCATCACCACCTCTTCCAGGGGCTGCTCCTTCCTCTCCAAGACTCGAGTGGTCCAGGAGCACGGCGGGCGGGCAGTGATCATCTCTGACAACGCGGTTGACAATGACAGCTTCTACGTGGAGATGATCCAGGACAGTACCCAGCGCACAGCTGACATCCCCGCCCTCTTCCTGCTCGGCCGAGATGGGTGAGGGCTCCTTGCCTCTGGCTTTATCAGCACCAGCTGGGTGCCATGACTTGGGGAGGTCAGGGGTAATTGCCAGTCCCTTCTTGCAGGCCTCAACTTGGGGTGCTTCAGTTAGAGGGCAAAAAAAAGTTCTTGGGCTTTGGAACTCCCAGATTGGTGGGGACAGTGGGGCATGGTGGGGTACCAAGAAAGTGACCATCACCACCTCTCTTCATGCCCTCCCAGCTACATGATCCGCCGCTCCCTGGAACAGCATGGGCTGCCATGGGCCATCATTTCCATCCCAGTCAATGTCACCAGCATCCCCACCTTTGAGCTGCTGCAACCGCCCTGGACCTTCTGGTAGAAGAGTTTGTCCCACATTCCAGCCATAAGTGACTCTGAGCTGGGAAGGGAAACCCAGGAATTTTGCTATTTGAAATTTGGGGATAGCATCCGGGGACAAGTGGAGCCAGGTGGAGGAAAAGGATTTAGGAATTGCTAGGCTGAAAGAGGGGAGCCATACCACTGGCCTTCCCTTCCCCAGGGCCCCCAAGGGTGTCTCATGCTTCAAGAGGAGGCAAGAGACAGGCCCCAGGGCTTCTGGCTAGAGTCTGAAACAAAAGGAGCTGAAGGTAGGTGGCCTGAGAGCCATCTGTAACCTGTCACATCTCACCTGGCTCCAGCCTCCCATACCCAGGGTCTCAGCACAGTGACCTTCACAGCAGTTGTTGGAGTGGATTAAAGAGCTGGTGTTTGGGGACTCAATAAACCCTCACTGACTTTTTAGCAATAAAGCTCATCAGGGTTGCAACTCTGTCCTAGAGTAAGAGCACAGAGGGGTGGGCAGGACCTTTGAATCACTCATCTGGTCCCATACAATCGTTCTGAGGAAAGGAAACAGGACCTCAGGGCCAGGCACGGTGGCCCATGCCTGTAATCCCAGCACTTTGGGAGGCCAAGGTGAGAGGATCATTTGAGGCTAAGAGTTCAAGACCAGCCTCAGCAGCAACATAGCAAGACCCTATCTCAACAAAAAAAATTAAAAATTAGCCGAGTGTGGTGGCAAGCCTATAGTCCCAGCTACTCAGGAGGCTGAGGGGGGAGGATCGCTTGGGCTCAGGAGTTCAAGGCTGTAGTGACTATGATTGCACCACTGCACACCAGCCTGGGTGACAAAGTGAGACTGTGTCCCAAAAAAAAAAAGCCAAACTGGACCTCAGGAGACCCTTGCTCTTAGGCATTAGAACATATGCATAGCAAAGTGTAAATAAGGACAGAGGTGAGCCCAAGCTGGTGAGCCTGGAGCTCCCATCTGCTACCAGTGCCTGGTCTAATCAGTACCCCTTTGCACCCACCTGTGACTGCTGCATGCCCAGGGAAGCCTGCCCAGCCATTCGCCACAAACGATTCCTGCAGAGGCCTATTACCACTCACATTTTATTGAGAACAGTGGGCAGGGGGCGGTGGAAGAGGAGTGCTGGCTGTTGTGAAGGAATAAGAACCCAGTGGGTAAGGAGACAGGCAGGTTCCACCTGGCTCCATGGCCCAGGGAAGGGCCTGTGGAGTGGGCACCTGCCCTCTCTGGGATCCCTCAGCAGGGGGATGTGGCAGGCTCCTCCAGGAAAGGGAGGCATTGGGAGTGATGGTTTGTAATTCCCATTAGCATCCAACCCAAGAGTGAGAGGGGTGGTGCTGATCTGGGGGTAGGAGGGGATAAGACAGAGCTACTCTCCAAGTATCTAGCCCAGCTCCTCAAGGTTTCTGGAAGACTTAGGTGTTCCTCTGTGGAGATCCTAAAGATGGAGATTGAGGCCAGGAGAGCCCCTCACTGATCCATTTTAACTGGCCCCAGGAATTCCAGAACATCCTAATTTAAGGAGCACAGGCCTGTTAAGCCCCAGGTTTCAGCCATGCCGCTCAGTGCACACTGGGAAGAAGCTGTGAGAGTGATGATTCCCCACGTGTCCCTCCTGAGGAAGGCAGAGGCCTTTTCCATACTCCATAGGGCCAGCCACTGTGCCAGGGCCTGAGAGGCAAGGCACGAGGTACAAAGATTCTGGAGTCTGGGGAAGAGGTTAATCTCCACTTCCCCAGATGTCCAAATGAGGGTATGTGTGTGGGGGAATATTCCCCCTGATCGAGCATTCCCAGCAGACAGCCTCAGAGAAGGGGCTCAGGAGGCCCAGATCCTCCTGCCTGCCTCTCCCCGCTGAGCCAGCGGTCAAGCAGTTGCCTTACCAGCCATAGCTGTGGCAGTGGGGAGATGAGGGAGGTGAGGGCGCCTCACCACCTCCCCTCTCTGCTTCAATGAACTCAGTCTGTTCTCAGATTTACCCCCTCAAAAGAAATCAACAGCAAGTTGAGAGGAGAAAAGCCTCAGGTGAATGGGTAAGTATGAGCCATGGGGCCACGGGGAAGAAACACTGTTAGGCCCTGGCCCTGATTCCAGCCCCTCATACCCTAGAGTGGAGGAGGAACCTCACAGGGAAGCCAGTTGTGAAAGGCTCAGTGACAGTGCAGAGTCTAAGCCAACTCAGCAGCAGTGTCCAGGGCATGAGGTCTGGTGGGGGTTGGGGGCTGGGAGTCCAGCCTTTGTCCTACCCGCTGGCAGAGAGGGCTGGAATGAGGGGAAAGCAGGCAATGGGAGTGGGGAGTTCCCTCTGAGCCCCTTCTCTGGGGGAAGAGCCCCCTTTTCCAGCAGGGTCTAGGGCAGGGCCCTTTCCAGGCAGGACAACATCACACATCAGTCATCTCATCCCCCAGCTCTGCATCTTCCGGCTCTCCTTCCTCCTCTTCCTCTTCCTCTTCTGAGGTCACATTGGGTTCATCAGCCTCTGCTAGGCATTTGGGACAGGAACAGACAAACAGATAGTTCTCCCTGCAGCGGTGAGGGAATGGTGAGATGGAAAAGTCAGGCAACTACCGGGATAGAGGACCCCAGAGCCCAGCTGCCCAATCATGTCCCCAGCTGGCACCTGAGGATCTTGTGGCGGCTGTGGCGGCTGCGCTCCCGTTGACAGCAGTCCAAGTAGCTGATACAAATTTCCTGTAGGGCAGAGAGGTGCAGTCCGATGGTCTGTCATCTTTTAAATGGCATAAGGGCCTCCCCAAATCCTACCCTATCTCCAACCACTGCCCCATCTCTAGGAGCAATGCTTGTGCTGCCCTTCAGTGAAGGAGTAGTAGGCTGCCCTCATCCAGTTCCCAGTGCCTTCAGTAGGCAGGCCACTGTAGGGCTCCAGCAGCCTGTGTCTGAGACAGAGGAGACTGTGATTAGCCTCAGGCCACCGTGAAAGTCAGTCAATGGCCAAGGTCTGTGCTGAGATCAGAGGTGTTGGTAAGACGCTACTTGCCCTGTAAGAAGATTCAACCAGGCACTGTGCCTGTGCTAATAGACAAGACCCTAAACCCACAAGGAGCTATCTCCTGCTTTCTTAGAAACTGCAGATCTGCATTTGACCAAAAGATAGCTGGGGACAAGAATCTGAGCACACAGGTGTCCCTCAAACACTGTCTTGAGAGTTTCTGGAGTCATATTTTGAAAAAGTGAGGAAGGGTTAGAACATAACCATAAGCTGAAAGACTCAGATCCTAGAGTATGTGCGGATTTCACTCAACAGCCTGAACTTCAAGGTGCTCTAGCCACTGCTGCTCCCGATCCCTAAACAGAACTTCCAAGGCCCACTGCCCACCCATCCCCACGGCCCCTGGCTCCCCTCACCTCTCCTGGCTTAATATCCTCCAGAGCGGTGACATGTAAAAGGAAGTTGTTTTCTGGAAAGGAGGTCTCTGCATTGGGCACACAACTGTGATTGCCTGGATCACAAGAGGCAGGTAATGAGGATTATTTACTAAAAAACATCATAGCCTCAACCCTGCAGAGCACTGGGTTCTTTCTTGCTCTTTTGTCCCTGCCAAGGCTGAGCAGGTTTTGGAACCCAAGTTTCCTGACTCTGCATCCAGTGTTCTTTCCTAAAGACCAAAAAGCACACGCCGAATGAACTCCACAGCACTCCCACTCCAACCCGCTGTGACTGGCCAACTTCATTCTCAGTCACGTTCCCACTGCCTCACAACCTGAGGGATAGGGCTCTGAAGGGACACCCACCAGACCATTTAACTCAGTTCTGCCTGCTACTGGACATCTAGTAACAGCTGACACGGACCCTCTGAGAATCCAGTTTGGGAGGGTAGAGTAGCTCTAAAGCCTGGGAGGAGGAGTTCACAGTGAGGAAACTAAGGGGTGAGAGGCTGAGGTCTGGAAAAGGCAGTTGTCTCAGCTGGCTCTGCCCCTCCTCATCAGGTGTTGATATGACTTGCCCTCTAGCCTGGGCTCCCTCTTCCCAGGAACTGAAGGGTCTCCCAGTACGCCCAAATCTCACAGGGCAGTGCTGGTATAAAGCCCATGCTTCCCTTTATAAGAATCAGAGCTCTATGCCTGCCTTAGTACAGGGCCTGGCCTTTCATAAGGTTTTATATATAAGCATATATTATAGCACAAACAGTTGGATGAATAAATGAAATAATGATAGGACAAAAAGGCCCAGGGGAATTCTGTGGGAGCTCAGACCTAATGGGGCTCCCAGACTCAACCCTAGCAGCCTAGAAAGGGCCACCTGGTAAAGGCAGAAACACCTGGGACCATGACTCACAGCAGCTCTGAAGCACAAAGAGACCAGATCCTTCACAGTTAAGAAACTCTCCAGTTGCTGTAAGACAGTAACATACAGACATTATTCCACCCATTTTACAGGCAGGAAAAGGAAACAAGGCTTACAAGGACAGGCACTGACTCCACTGTCCTGCCACCCCACCACACTAATGCACCAGGCCCTACCATTTTACCTAAACTTGCCTCTGAGACACAAGCCTTACTTTTCTGTCTACAAGACACGCTATTTGTCCAGCACTCCCCCTCCCAGCATCAAGCCTCTGGATAAATCTCGGGGCCATTTCTCACCTGTGTGCCCTGTGGACAGATCTGAATCTCCCCATAGGCACAAAGGTATTACCTTCCCCCACCATTAATTCAGAGCACCCTGGGGAAAAACTGTGTATCCACCATCTGACTGAGGGGTCTCCAGGGTTGGGTAAGGCCAAGGCCCTATCTCACCAACCTGCCTCGATGTCCTTGTACAGCTGGTCAATGAAGGCGTCCAGTTGCTCACGGTCCTGAGGCTTCAGCTCCAGGGCGTCACAGGCATGGACCCACTGGCTCAGGGAGCTGGAGGTCCCAGTCAGCTCATGGTTGGGGAGGTGGAAGCCCAGGTCACAGGGCTCTCTACCTCCACATAAGTTAAGCCCAGGAAGAAGTATCTCCCACCCCTACCCCATTTCATTCTCCAGGGTGGGGACCCATCTTTCCCAATAGACAGAGGCTCCCTAAAACAGATACCAATGACTCATTCTTTGTGACTCCCACCACTGTGTCCAGTTCAGTACTCTGCCCAGAGTCCCACCCTACCCCATCCCAGCCTTGAAAGCAACTGTGGCTACCTTCCTCAATCCATTTCCCACCCCTGAGAGGAAGTTCAGTTGCTCTGGAACATTCTAACCTGGTCCCAATTCCTTGGCCATTGGTCCCAACAAGAGCAAAGAGGGACCGGAATCCATCTGGAGTGAACCACTGTGGGGGGAAAAAAAGAGATGGGTGCTTATGTTATAGCCACTTGCTTTTCTTTTCTTTTTTTTTGAGACAGAGTTTCGCTCTTGTTACCCAGGCTGGAGTGCAATGGCGTGATCTCGGCTCACTGCAACCTCTGCCTCCTGGGTTCAGGCAATTCTCCTGCCTCAACCTCCTGAGTAGCTGGG